CAGCTGACCCAGCAGGGCACTGCCTCTCGCACAGTCCTCGCCCTCGGACACACCATGGGCCCAGAGGCGGGTTTGCAGCACAGCAGCGACGACGCAGGTGGCAGCCCCGGCGACTCGCAACTGCCTCCCTGACCACCGCGACCACCGCCCGGCACCCCGAAAAGCTATCGTCACCAACGGCAGGTGAACTTAGGGCCCCCAAACCATCTAGGGGCGATAGACGCAAGCTACGACAACAACTATGGCGGGCGACGGGCGGCGGGCGGAGTCGGTGATTGAAGGATGGGGGCTGCACGTGACACCCCGGGCCCCCCTGCGAGAGGGAAGGGCAACGAGCAGAGCCGGGGAGCCCTGGGCATCCGTTTAGGGGTGTCGGGATTGCCTTTCCACACGTCTTCACGAGGGACGGCGAGCCGGGCGGCTGGCGGGACATCGGATCGCCCCAGGCTCTGTTTCACTTCAGTTTCCTCTAGCCGGCGGCTGTTTCTGCTAAAGCCGCTTATAGTTCCTCCTTTCATATTCAGAGGCCAAAAGTTCCCAGCGGATTACGGTTCTAACCCAACTCCCAGTCTTTTCCCTGCCCTGTCCACGTGAGGGACGGGGGAGGGGATCTGTGAGTAGTCGGTGCATTGATTTGAGACCCCGCCCAGATCCGTTCACCGAGGTGGGGTCGGCCAGTCATCTTGAACTGGAAGCCCTCTGGGTCTGATGGACTGGAGCCGATTGCTCTTTCTCGTGTGGTGGTCTGTGCCCAACATTCGCCACTCTGGGGGCCCTCATTGTAATCCCAACGATTAAGTAGTAGTAGCCTGACAAATGAGCCAGAAGGATGCTGACAAAGTTAGTGTATCGTTTTACATGAGTCACGGGCGAATCAACACCTTGCCCGCAGGCCCCCACCTAGCAGAGTCACAGGTGATGTTTCATGTTAGCCCATGTAAGCCACCGATGAGGTAAGAAGCCGGGGGTCTGGATCACAATGGGATTACCTACTTAGACCATTGATAGATATGAAGAGGACGTGGATTTTCAGCTTAGAGTAGAGGAATAGGCTGCCCGTTTACCTGATGGCTTATGAAGTGCTGGCCCATTTGAAGATGTGTTCATTTTGGAAACTTTATGTTAAAGATATGTAAATTACTAGAGGGTGTAGTCACTCGAGACAGTTGTTCCTATGGGAAGTCATACAGTAATTAATAAATAATAATAATAATACAAGAATGGACTCTGTTTCTGGTACTCACAACTGCAAACCTACTTTTGCTCCACCCCGTGTGTTCCTGAAGATAGAGATCCTATCATATATGTTTGATAGTGCTTCTGTATCCCCTTCAATGTCTGGAAGAATGCTTTGCACATCTTTATTTAACAAGACCTGTGAAATTGTATGGACTCTTCTACAGAGTCTAATGCAGCTGTGTCAGTTAATATTTTTAACACATAAAGGATGTGCCTCTGTTTAAGTACATCTATAAAGATCTAAACATTTTTTTACTCTTCTGCTTTCTTCCACATCATTTGATGCTAGCCCAGTGATTTTCAACCTTTTTCATCTCATGGTGCACATAAACTAATTACTAAAATTCTGTGTTCACCAAAAATTATATTTTTGACGGATACGAACAACAACAAAAAAGGCATAATTTTGAATCACTTACACCAGAGGGCTGTCATTTTTAAAATTTGAAAACCCAAGGGGAAAGAGGTCAGTGTCCCTAAATAGTCAGGTATTGTGTGCTTGAAAAATTCTTGCGGCACACACGTTGAAAATTGCTGCTCTAGCCCATCTTTTAAAATTTTTAAAGTAATATGTTTTTGTGGTAAAGCATCAGTGGGGAGGAGTTTTTTGTTTTGGTTTTTTTTTAATTGTAGTTCTGACTAGGTACGTTTGTAAGTTTTGGTAAACTTAATTTCACATTTCTAAAGCAATGAATTACTTGCATTTCTGCTCATATATTGCTATTAACATGAATATATACTCTCTACCCAGATCATGTATTCTGAATTTTGACAATTGTCTTATCTATTCTTTAGAGGAAGAGCTATCTCCACAAACTGTTGTAAGCCAAACAGTCTCAAAGAAAACTGTCTGGAGAACACAAGAGACTTCAGGTGAGAGAGTGATTTTGGTTTTTTTCCCGTAACCCAGCAGCTTTTTTTATGTACAGATTATAACCTGATTCATCAGGCATTCCAAATCATACTTCATTCAGTTTCAGTGAATCTTCTGAATAGTTGTTTATTGAATTAAGCAATGTGTCAAGGAAAGACAGCGTACGAGTACTGTAGTGCCTACTAAGTGCCAGTCACTTCTTATGTATTAATTCAGTCACATAACTGTGTGTCTCATAACTTACTCAGTCACAAGGCCCTTTTATTTTCCCCAAGTATCACTGTCACTCGCCCATGTAATAATTAGCTACCCAGTAGTATAAATGGGTGAACTGCCTAACCCGCCTTTCATTTAAAATGGGTTAAATGGTTTGCATAGAAAAGTCAGCCCTGTCCATTTGATACTACATTTCATGAAATCTAAGATATCATCTGTAAGATACACTGTCATTGTTTTACGTACCACTTAGAAGGAAGAAATGCTACCATAAACTGTAATATGCCATAGATGGTGTGATGCATCCCAATTCAGAGATGTTAAAGTCTAGAAATATTTGCTTCTTAGTATCTCAGTGTAACATGGAAGTAGGCTACACTTGATAATCTACTTAAGTTTTTAAAACTTAACTATTTTGAAAAGCAGGAGAAAGAATTAACTAAATTTATTAGTGCCTACTATCTTTTGTTTTAGTCCCATTTATTTTCAATTTGCTTTTTTTGATATTAGGACAGTCCCACATCAGATGATTATAACTATTGAAACTGATCATCCCTGGATTTTTTAACCCAAGTCCTGACTTATTTTCTTATCCATTGCTTCTAAGACAATTATGCTTTATAGTTTGAACTTGTTCTATTCTCAATTTAGAATAAAGTACTTCTGGTTCAACTTCAGTTTTCTTTAAGCTTAATTCCTTGAACAGCCTACGTTACTGTGTTAAGATTATAAACTATCTTGGAAAAATGCTTTGAGTAATCGGTGCTATAATCAGACTTTTCAGGCCATTTGGAAAAAGCATACTCTTGAAATTTTATTTACAGTAGATTTAATTGCATGTCCCTTATACCTGAAGAAGCAAAATTTTCTTATTTTTAAAATTTAGGGTAAATTTATAAAAACTACAGAGCTAAGCCCTAGCCATTTGGTTCAGTGGATAGAGCGTCAGCCTGTGGACCAAAGGGTCCCAAGTTCGATTCCTGTCAAGGGCACGTACCTTGGTTGCAGGCTCCTCCCTAGCCCCGGCCCTGGTTGGGATGCATGCAGGAGGCAACCAATTGATGCATTTCTTTCACGTTGATGTTTCTGTCTTTCCTCTCCCTTCTACTCTCTCTAAAAGATCAATGGAAAAATATCCTCAGGTGAGGATTAACAATAACAGAAAAAGAAAAATTACAGAGTTAAGTGAATTGATACACTGAAGACTGTTGAGTGTCAGCCTATAGACCATTATATAGTAGATTACTTGGAATATTTTGATAGTACACTGTGCATACTGTATAACTAGAAATCCGGTTATGTGCATCTTCGGGAGATTGGAGATACTCAGGGTTCTCTTACTCTAAAACAGTGATGGCGAACCTTTTGAACTCGGCGTGTCAGCATTTTGAAAAACCCTAACTTAACTCTGGTGCCGTGTCACATATAGAAATTTTTTGATATTTGCAACCATAGTAAAACAAAGACTTATATTTTTTATATTTATCTTATATATTTAAATGCCATTTAACAAAGAAAAATCAACCAAAAAAATGAGTTCGCGTGTCACCTCTGACACGTGTGTCATAGGTTCGCCATCACTGCTCTAAAAGGTGCTTTTATAAATCTTTCTATATCCAGAATTTGACATACTCCCATCTCATGCTTCTGAATGAAAGGAAAAAAAATTTAGGGAATTATTAAATGCTTGTAAAGTCTGTCTAGCAGAGGAATTATTAAATGGGAGTCACTCTTTGTTGGAAGATGTGCTTTAAGTACAAGTTTAAGGATAGGCCTTTCCTCTTCCTTATAGCATTATAGACTTTCAGTTTAACTTGGTATTTTGAATATTATATATTCTGTAATTGCATGTAGGGCCACTGATGTGGTCTGAGAGAAATTTATCCTACGATGCCCTTAAGAATAAAGACCTAACCAAAGAGGCCACTTTCTTTTTTTTTTTTTAAATATATTTTTATTGATTTTTTTACAGAGAGGAAAGGAGAGAGATAGAGATAGAGAGTTAGAAACATCGATGAGAGAGAAACATCGACCAGCCGCCTCCTGCACATCCCCCACCGGGGAAGTGCGCGCAACCCAGGTACATGCCCTTGACCGGAATCGAACCTGGGACCCTTCAGTCCGCAGGCCGACGCTCTATCCACTGAGCCAAACCGGTTTCGGCAACTTTCTAAAACAACCTAGTAAAAATAACTGTGTCACTGATCATCTGATACCTCTTCCTGGTACTTTGTCTCCTTCAAGTATCATTCATATATATACCATACACACACACACACACACACACACACACACACTGGAGCATGCAGGAAAGGTTTTTTTTGTTTTTTTCTTCTCTGTGCTCATACAGATTGTTTTTTCGTTAAAAATTTTTTTTTCAATTACAGTTGACATTCAGTATTATATTAATTTGAGGTGTATAGCATCAGATTTTGGTTTCTAACTGAGAAATTTAGGAGAGTTTTATTTGGTATTTCCTTTTATATAAATACGGTCTGCTGAAAAAAATTATCAATTTTTCCATCAAGTCCATAAATTTTTTATGGCAGGAAACTTGTCTCTAGTTCACTAGTGTATCCTTATACTTAACATAATGGAAAGCACAGAAACACCTTTGTTGATTTAATAGATGACTGTATAATAAATCGAGTGTGTTGGATATTTTACATATTCTTAAGTGTTTTTTCTCCCATATTAGTGATGAGTGGAGATTCTGTACACGACCTGCTTAGACCCCCTCTAAGAAGTCCACGATCTGGTAAGAAATTATTTGTCTGTTGGTTTAACATTTTTATAAATGCAGTTTATAAATTCATATGATTCAAAATTCAAAAGTTACTATAAATATACAATGAAAATTCATCCTGCTCCCCCTCTTCTTTACCCACCCATCTCATCAGAGGCAGCCAATTTTGTCAGTTTCTTAGGTATTCTTCCAGAGATATTTTATGGAGATATAAGGAAATTCATGTATAAATGATCTTTCCTCCCTTTAGCCCAATATTTTTGCACCTCTATAATGTTTGTTTTTATTTAACATATATTGTGACATATTTTTATATAACAATATAAAGGGCTTGCTTCTTCAGCCTTTTTAAGAGGTGTTTTTTACATGTTTCTTTTTGTTAGCACAATGATTTCAAACTAGGGTCAGGGACATTTTATTCTTTCAAGTATAAGGCTAATAAAAAATTCAAGACAGAGGCTTTGTGGCTCAGGGCTATAAAATTTCCCTGCCTCCATTACATTTCTTTTTGACTAATACCTTAAAAGAGTGTTTCCTTCAATTGATTTCATGGCTATGAAAGAAAACTAGTGAAGTCTACTTCTGCTTCATTTTCAGAGTTTTTTGGCCCATAAGGATGCTTTATTATGGGAAGTAAAAAGGAAGCTTATTTATCTTCACATTAGTTTTCTATTCCTCAGTTATATTCTGTAAGAAAAAGTTAGGTTGATTTTTTTTTTATGACTATCAAGTATTACAATGATAAAGATCTGTTATGGTTTTGATGATGAACCTGTGGTAAAGAACCATATGATGCATTTCCTTTTAAGCTCTAATCTTTTTCTCTCTATCTCTCTTGCAGATTCAGCATACAAAACAAATGGAAATACTGAAATGAGTGAATTAGGTTTGTTAATTTCTAATTTTTCTAGGTTCTTTTTGAGGATTCTGATTATCAGTAGAATACAGGAGTGCACACTTTTGGTCACTGGCTTGAAAATATTACTTTGTTCATTATCTCACCGTGTGGGGCACTGTCCCTATGACCAAGACCTTTCTTAACAGCCTTGGTGGTTATTCTATTTGAAATTATGTATTTTGTTATACTATTGTTAAAATTCGTGAAAGAACAAATACATTTTCATTTTAGTTAGCCTTTGTTAAAGTCACACTATTGAGAGAAAGGAGATAACAACTTACCAATTAAGGTTTTTTTTCTTGACTTAGGAAGTGAACTTGAAATTTTTTTTATAGTAAGTTTAGTGTCCTTCGCCATGTTTGTTGACCTAGTTTTAATTCTTTTCGGTGTTTTATTCATATAGGACATGAGACACCAAGATCTGTGGCTTTAAGTGAATCTACATTGATTGTGGTTAGACTTAGTTTTAAGTTACAGTTCTTTTCTAAATTTGGAGATGAGTCAAAAGGAGAGAGGCTTAATTTTTCTTTATAAATAGCTGCAGCTTTTAAAAAATTTGTCTTTCACTTAAGCTGAGGCTAATTTCTTTAGAGACTTCAGGATTTTTAGTGTCTGGATACTGAAAATACACAGCAATTGTGACTTTTACCCAGACAGCAGTTTCTCAAGTGCTCTATTTTAAAACTTAAAGAATGTTTTTATGTCAGGCTCTTTTTATTTTTATTTTAAAATTAGGGTTTTTTTTCATTTATTGAATTTATTTGGGTGACAAAGTCAGACTCTTAATTGGAAGAGGACTTTGAGCTAAGATAATCCTGCACTTCTTTCTATGCTTGAATAAAAATTATTTTTATAAGTACTTTATAATAAAAATTAACTTTAAATCACGTGCTTTCCAGTTTGAAGGAAATTTCTGAGATTAATACAGAGAATGGAGTATATTCAAATGGTTATTCATGGAACTTGAATACTAGTTAGTAATAGCCTCAAGCTATTCCTTAATCTCTTCTTCCTGCTGCTCCACTCTGACTGTTCTCAAAAGCATGGTTGGCATCGAATAATTTTACAGGTATTATTCTTAAAGGCATCTATACCAGGGTCAGAAAACTATAGCCTCTGAGTAAAATCTGACCTGCAGTCTTGTTTTTTGTACAGTTTGCAAGCTTAAAAAAAAATATTTATATTTTGTGAAATACTTATATTTCACAGACATATCTATGAGAATATGTGTATTCATATATATGTGAACTGCAGAGAACTTACATGGCTCACAAAGCATAAAATATTTGCCATTTGGCCCTATATGGAATAAGTTTGCTGACCCCTCGTTTATACCAATGGCAGGAATAAAGACAGCAAATCACTCAAATTGTCATTTGTTTGTTCTAAGAGTACATTCAAAGAGGTACATCCTTGCGTGGACAAGGATTTGTTGTAACACTCCAAGCGAGGTTGTACTGACAGCACAAGAAGATAGGAAGGAGACACTGACTCCTATCTGGTCTTTCCTTTGAGAAAGCATGATAATCTCATTTTATGAAATCTTCATATCTTTGCCCCCAGACAAAAAACAAGGTAAGCAAAGCTTGTATTTGCTTGAGTACCCTTCCCTCCTCACACCAACACATTCCACAGATCTCTAGGAATAGGAACGTTTATACAGTAGTAGAAATTACCAGGAACTTTGTATTTTCTTTTCTTTTTTTATTTGTGGCACCCATGACCGAAATTGAACCTGGGACCCTTGAGTCCACAGGCCAACACTCTATCCACTGAGCCAAACCAGTCAGGGCGTGTATTTTCTTTAAAAACTGCAATAAAAAACAAACAGCCTGGCCGGTTTGGCTAAGTGGATAGAGCGTCGGCCTGTGGACTGAAGGGTCCCAGGTTCAGTTCTGGTCAGGGGCACATGCCTGGGTTGTGGGCTCAATCCTCAGTGTGGTGAGGTGCAGGAGGCAGCCAATCAGTGATTCTCTCTCATCATTGATGTTTCTCTATCCCACTCCCTCTCTGAATTCAATGAAATATATTTTAAAAAAATAACAAGCCGAAACCGGCTTGGCTCAGTGGATAGAGTGTTGGCCTGCGGACTGAAGGGTCCCGGGTTCGATTCTGGTCGGGGGTATGTGCCTGGGTTGCGGGCACATCCCCAGTGGGAGGTGTGCAGGAGGCGGCTGATCAATGTCTCTCTCTCTCATCGAAGTTTCTGACTCTCTGTCTCTCTCCCTTCCTCTCTGTAAAAAATCAATAGAATATATATTTTTAAAAAAATAAAATAACAAACAAAAAACTGCCATCATACAAAAGAAAGTGAACAAAGTGTTACAATTAGTGGTCTCCATCAGAGAATATGGTTTTAAGTGATCTATTCTTGCAACAAAGACCTGGGATTTCTGAAAGTACCTTTTTGTAATTGGTTGATGTTGTTGGAAAAGTTACAGCATAATAGCACATTTAATTATTGTCATGTGTCTATATATTTGTCAGAGCCATAGGTACCTTTTTAAAATTAAGGGTATTATTGCTCCAAAAAGGATTTTAATTTATCAGAACTTCTGTATGAGCATAAAGAAGAATAATACCATATATATCAATTCAATGTTTTTTAAATATGTTTTTATTGATTTTTACAGAGAGAGGGAGGGAGAAAGAAAGGGAGAAACATCTATGAAAGAGAAATATTGATCAGCTGCCTCCTGCATGCCTCCTACTAGGGATCTAATCTGAAACCCGGCATGTGCCTGACCAGGAATCAAACCAGTGACCTCTTGGTTCATGGGTTGATGTTCAACCACTGAGCCACATACGCTGGGTATATTTATTTAATGTTTTAAACATATGCATGTAGGAGCCAAGAAGTTTAAAATACAGGAAGCGGAATAACAAAAGAGGGAAATGAAATTAAAACTTATGTAGTCATAGATGCTGCTGATTCATTATCAGATGGTATTTAAATATATAGTATACCTGTAAATATTTTGCAGCTTAGGTTAAAAAGATAAAGACAAGTGGAATGTTTAAAACCTTGTATAAAATCTGATTATTAAGTGCTAATTTCAGGTGATTTTTCTTAAGTTGCCAAGTAATGTTTTATTAAAGTATGAGACATATTAGCAAAAGTCTTAACTTAAAAAAGCTTTTATTCTGTGATCCTAAAATCTATGCATTCATTAAAATAAACATTTATTTTTAACCACTTCCTAACCACCACCTACATGTCAGTGACCAGCCTATATGCTAGAACCAGAAATACCAAACCCCAAAAATGTACATGAAAATTACTAAAAATTAATTAATGTAATCTAGCATATCAGCAAACAAAAGAAAAGGCACATGATCATGTCAGTAGATACAAGGAAAGCATTTGACAGACTCTGACACCCATTCACATAAAACCTCTTAGTAAACTAGAAATAGAGGGGAACTTTCTCAACTTGATTAAAACTGTCTACAGAAAGACCACCTTACAGCAGATGTACTTGGAGATGAGAAACTGAAAGCTTTAGTAACATCAGGTATAAGGCAAGGATGCCCTCACCGCTCCTTTTCAACATTGTGCTGTAAGTTCTAGCTAATGCAATAAGACATGAAAAGGAAATAAAAGGTATACAAGTTGAGAAGGAAGAAATAAAAATGTCTTTGTTCACAGGTGGCATGATCATCTATGTAGAAAATTCAAAAGAATGGACAAAAACTGCTGAAACTTACATAGTAAGGTTGTAGGATACAACGTTAATATACAATCAATCACGTTTCCTATAAGCCAGCAATGAACAAGAGACGTTTAAAATTACAAACACAATATAATTACTGTCAGCATCCCCCAAAATAAATACTTATGTAAATCTAATAAAATGTGTATAAGACTTAAGGAAAACTAAAAAAAACAATTAATAAAATCAAAGAAATACTAAATAAATGAAGGAGACAATTCCATTTTCATCAATAGAGGAAGACTCAATATTGTCAAGATGCCACTTCTTCCCAGTGAATCAATAGACTCAATGCAATTCCAATCAAAATCTCAGAAGTTATTTTGTGGTATTGACAGTCTCATTCTATTAAATTCTAATGTCTGCAAATACAGGTTACATTTTAGAGTACAAATAGACCTGTGGATAAAGGAAAAATAAGCTTTCTGATTTTAGTTTATATCAGACTTATTCCTGAAATAGAGTAGAGGGAAATAATAGACTCTTCTTGGATTTAGCAAAAAAATAGTTCATTTTATCTTTATGGTCCCTTTTCTTAATTTAGATGTTTTTATTCCTAAGCTTTAGCCTTTAATGTTATATACATGTATGCTTTTCTTTTCTAGAAGCCACTAGTGTCCCACAGAAGGTCAATTTCTCTGAAGAAGGTATTTTCTTTTAAAATATCATACAGTATATTCTTAATCTTTTTTTGTTACCATTATTAGAATTTTGATAGATACTTAAGAGTGAGAGCAGAAAATAGTGTCTTTTTCTCCGGGGGGAGAGGGGGCGGAGGGGGAAATCATGCTTATCTTAACTGTCAAATAGGCAGGTAAAATAGTATAGAATGAGTGTTGATAGCCTTTGTACATTTCAAGCATCTTTTGTCTGAGTTAATAATTTTAAGCAAAGCTAGTATTTTCAGTTTCTGACATGCTGGCATTTAATTATGTTATTAAAACAGTTTTTCAAATTCTCATAACCAGTCTATGTTTGAATAGTGCAGTACCATTTAGTTCATTTTAAAGCCCACCATACTCTGAAATTAGTCACCTCCATATTGAAATGTTTGTGTGTGGACATGTATATACATGTATATGCATGTATATATATATGCATGTGTGCATATACTAATCTTGTCTGAATTTACACACTAATAAGTTGAAGTTAATAAGGTAAAATTTTTCCACTATTTAATGCTCCCTTTTTTTTTCAAGCTTCGGAATATAATCTTAGTAAACATTACTCTCAGTATTTGTTGGAATATAGTTCTATGCCTCAGAGAACGTAAAATAAATGAGCTCAATTTTAGCTTATTTAAAACATTGTGACTCAGAATAAGTAAACATAATAAAGAACAATTTTGTATCTGATCATCAAAAAGATTTTGCTTTAATGTTGAATGCTTGTTTTTGTTTTTTAATCCAGATATTTAGAGCATTTGAGTAGAGACTATACTAGTATATCCTTTCTTTCTTTTTAGGGGACACTGAAGAAGATGATCAGGACATCTCTGATAGTGCTGTTACTTCTGTTAAGGTCAGATCTGAGGAGTCTCTTGACTCTGGAGGTAATATTGCTTTAAACACATATGACACCTAACTTAGGAGCTGTATTTTTAGTTAAAATATAAAGGTATTCTGTGAATTTGCTTTTTTAAAAAATACTATAAGTTATCTTTAATAACTTTTAACGTTGTATATTTTTTCATATTTATTAAAATTACTGATTCCATGTATACATCTGGTTAGAAATAGAATGTCATGTAATACTTAAACAATTAAATCACTTTTTAGCCTGATTTGATATTTATGGACTACAATATTTTTATGCTCATAAGAAGAATTATTTGTAGTTTTCAAAAAAATTTGATAGGGAAACTGATCACTTTGGCATTATAATCACTACACTACCAGGAGTTTTAACTTTTCAGAAGTTTTAAGGTACTTAGGTAACTACTTTTATCTCTGGGTTGTTCAAATTCACACTAAGTTAGCAATAAGTTAAAGTGGAAGATTTTTTTTTTAATATATTTTATTGATTTTTTACAGAGAGGAAAGGAGAGAGATAGAGAGTTAGAAACATCGATGAGAGAGAAACATTGATTAGCTGCCTCCTGCACACCTCCCACTGGGGATGTGCCCGCAACCCAGGTACATGCCCTTGACCGGAATCGAACCTGGGACCCTTTAGTCCTCAGGCCGACGCTCTATCCACTGAGCCAAACCGGTTTTGGCTAAAGTGGAAGATTTTTATCTTATTAACTTTAGCTCATTACTGAATATTCACATAAACTTGTGTTTAAGTTTTTCAAGGAAAGAATCTACTGAAGAGAAAAAGTGAATTTGTGGCTTAACAGGGCACTGATCAAAGATGTAAACTCTGTAAATAAATAGTAATTTTATATATTTTAGTCCCATGGAAGATTGTCTCCACTTTCCCCTCACCACCTTTGAGAATTTCAGTAATTTCTAAGTTTTACTTAATCGTTTTACTTTAAAAATAAGCTCATAAGCTGGTCTGTGGGTATTTGGTATTTTACATATTTCCCATCCTTCCTCATTTTAACCCATTCTTTCTTGATACAGAAATCCCAAAGGAGCTATGCAACACTCTAGGATAGTGGTTAAGAACATGGGCTCTGGAGCCAGAATCCCTGGGTTTCACTCCTCCACTACTAGGTTTGTGCCCTTAGGCAATTGCTTAACTTCTTGGTTGTTGTGAAGTTAAATTAATTCATATGTGCAAAGCACTTAGAAAGTACCTGGCACATAGTAAATACTTAAATTAAGTGCTGTCACTAGTTTTCAAATGAATACATAAAGATATAAAAATTGGAGACTAATTAAGCTTCATATAGCCAATAGTTTAATGCTATTGCTACCAAGATGTATAGCTCTTTGAAACTACTACGTAAACCCCAGGCTTTGTGGTCCCTTGAGAATTCTAATATATTCTTATTAAAGCACACATACCCACATGCAGAAATAAAGTAGCTAAAGAACAAAGACATGAGTATTAAGAAGAATACTGATCTTCCTAGATTATGTCGGGCTAGTTTTCAGTGAACAGGTACCAGAAGATCCATTGGAATGCAGGAAGAAAATATTAGCATTTCATGCTTATATTTTTCTATTTCATCCGTTTAAAGTGTCTTTTATAATATACACATTTGTTAATATATTATCTTAGTAATGCATGTACTGGTATACAATGTTAGGAAGAAATAGGTTTTGGAGATTGATGCTCAAAATTTTTTTAATAATAGGGATACACTACTAAAAATATTTAGCCATACTCTAGCTGGTTTGGCTCGGTGGCTAGAGCAGGTGTGTATGAAAACAATCCATATCTCTCTCATCTTTGATGTTTCTGTCTCTCCTCCTCTCTTTCACTCTCTCTCTAAAAATCAATGGAAAAATATCCTTGGGTAAAGATTAAAAAAAAATATACATACACACACACACTAGAGGCCCAGTGCATGGATGCATGCACCGGTGGGGTCCTTTGGCCTGGCCTGCAGGGCTTGGGCAAAACCAGCTCTCCAATATCACCTGAGGGGTCCCAGATTGTGAGAGGGTGGTTCTCGGGTCATGCACCCCAGAATCCGCCTCCCTCCTCTCTGGTTCTGGATGCGTCACCACAGCTTGGCAACTCCTGCATTGAGCATCTGCCCCCTGGTGGTCGGTGCGTGTCATAGCTATCGGTTGGCCAGGTGCTCAGGCTTTTATATATATAGATAGATATTTAGCCGCCATACCTGAGTGTGTCAAATGCTTCTGTTGCCAAAATAGCAATCAGATTGCTTTTAAATAGATTTACCTCTAAATTCCACTTAAATATGACAATGTTTTTAAGAATATATTAGAATAATATATTGACCATGTGCAAGAGAAATTTAAGAAAAAAATTGACATTAATGATTTCAAGAAGATCCATTATTCCAAACTTTCAAAATTTCCCCTTACCTTACACCATGTTCTATGTCCTTTTTTTGAAAGGGGTTAGGGGGCCCTAGCCAGTTTGGCTCACTGGATAGAGCATTGGCCCTTGGTCTGAAGGACCACAGGTATAATTCCAGTCAAGGGCGTGTACCTTGGTTGCAGGCTCTATCTGAATGCAGGAGGCAACCAATAGATGTGTCTCTCACATCAATGTTTCTCTCTCTCTGTTTCTCCCCATCCCTTCCACTCTCTAAAAATCAGTGGAAAAGTATCCTCGGCTAAGGATTAACAAAAAATACAGTAAAAAAAGAAAAAGCAGTTAGGGGAAAGACTGATAATTAGTTAATGTTTTAGATACAACTTGACTCTAAAAACTTGTAAAATTATGCACTCAGGTGTTCCCTTGGGTTTATCTGAGTATTTTTGCTCTTTTGAGTACACCTTTTTCTCTTGTGAAATGTGCACTTAAAAGGTTAAATATAGCGCTAACTAGTTTGGCTCAGTGGATAGAGCATCGGCCTGCGACTGAAAGGTCCCAGGTTTGATTCCAGTCAAGGGCATGTACCTTGGTTGCGGGCACATCCCTAGTAGGGGGTGTGCAGGAGGCCACTGGTCGATGTTTCTAACTCTCTATCCCTCTCTCTTCCTTTCTGTAAAAAATCAATAAAAAAATATATTTTTAAAAAGTTAAATATACTCTATATTGTACTATATTTCTTCTTTATTTTTTAGATCAAACCAGCAGACCAGGTCAACATTTAGAATCATTTTGGCAGTCATCACAAAGTAAGGAAAGCCATGTTTTACACTCTTAAAAGTCTACCTGTGGGTGTGGTCAATGCTGCTTTTGTTTTTAAAGATAATCTGTTGCAAGTTTCATGTAAAATGTTGAAAAGGGGGTATGGTGAATGCTTTAAAAACCTCATCGTGCATCTTGAGTTTGCTTCTTGAGTGAGCCATCTCTGTATTCAACCTTGAATTAGAATTAAAAAACGCAGAACTGCTTTCAGTGATTTGTTGAATATTTTTGGTTGCAATGTAAATTTGTTGAAAGGTTTTAATTAACTAGTGTAATAGTTTGAGCCTACTTATGTAGACATTTTAATAAGGATATAAAATTTTACATGCAGTATAATTTTAACTGTTGCAAAGGTTTGGAATGATGAATAAATTAGTGATAAATGAGTTGTAGTAAAAAGTTAATGGTAAGTTAGGTGGTGGGATTATAAGTTTTACAGCCTTGCTTACAACTTTGGAAATTTTCATAGTAAAGTGTTGAGAAAATATAATTCAAGAAAAGATTGGAAAGTAATGTGCTAAAAGCTAACAGTGATTTGTTTAGAGTGGTAGAACCATTAGTGACATTTTTCTTTCACTTTTTTTCATTATTTTACAGATTATCAACAATGAATATGTATTTCTTAGGTTAAATGGAAATGATATTGTTTTTTCTTTTCATAGTTTTAAATCAAGCCCCAGAATTTGAGTTATTAATAGATTATATATATATATATATCCTTGTATACTGCACTGGCTGGTGTGGTTCAGTTGGTTGAGCATTATCCTGTGCACCAGTATTTTTGATCAGTGTACATGCCCAGGTTTTGGGCTCCATCCCCAGTAGAGGGTGTGCAGGAAGCAGCCAATCAATGTTTCTCTCTCATCATTGATGTTTCTCTCTCTCCCTCTTCCTTTCTTTCTCTGAAATCAGTAAAAACATATTAATAAGCAAGACATGAAAATAGGCAAGTTTCCGCCGAAACCGGTTTGGCTCAGTGGATAGAGTGTTGGCCTGCGGACTGAAAGGTCCCAGGTTCGATTCTGGTCAAGGGCATTGTACCTGGGTTGCGGGCACATCCCCAGTAGGAGATGTTCAGGAGGCAGCTGATCGATGTTTCTCTCTCATCGATGTTTCTAACTCTCTGTCTCTCTCCCTTCCTCTCTGTAAAAAAATCAATAAAGTACGTTTTTTTAAAAATTTAAAAAAAAAGAAAATAGGCAAGTTTCCATTAAATAAATGAAAAAAAATTTTAAGTTTTACTTTCCATATCATTTGAAGGCAAATTATCATTTGAACAATATTCAAGTTTATAAAAATATTATAAGATGTTTAACTTTCATCAGCTTCAAGGTTTATGTTGCTCCCAAATTTTGGATATAACAACTTTCAAATCTGCTCACACCCATTGAGTTGATTCCACTCTGGACTCTAAAGTGTCAGTTTCTCCTGGCAAAGTTTTCTTGTGTTTCTTCTTGAGAATGGCTGATGAAGCATCAATTTGATAAGGTATCATTAAGCAGTTGTTATCTGCAAGTATGATGCCCTCGCAAGCATCATCTAAATTTTGGAGTTATTTTTTACATATATTTCTTCCTTTAGCTCTGTGATTCTACTTATATTCCGTTCAACTTTGTTTATCTTTTGTTGATCTTCAAAAGAGGCATTGACATGAAATGCCACTTTATATGTATTTTTAGTTTTTAGTAGGTTCTAGGTTTGTGACTTAAAAACTAAGAGGTAACAAAATGAATAAGCTGTTGAAACAAAAACCATTTGTGGAAAAGATACTCTGCATCATCTTATATATTTGCCCTTTTTTACTCAAAATCTTTGATTTTGGAAGCTCTTAAATGTATCTTTCTATATAATTATGCTACACATGCATTAGAATACCATTTAGCTATGAATAATGAGTAAATGCTTTATACAAATGAATGTAGGTGATCAAGATATATTTTCTTGAATCTAAGATACCATCGATTTTATGCATCACTGAGAAAGAAAAGCCATCCAGTTAAACTACAACATAACATTGGTTATAAGATACAGCCCTAAATCTGAGGTGTTTCTATAAAAAGTACTTTTTAGAGTCGATGAAAAGAAATATTTAAAAAATCATGTGTCTGCTTTTTTAAAAAGTACTATATTTTGTTAGTATAGACTAAAGACAAATCTGGAAGAACATCGGTCTTATACACTATGACATTCCTACATGTAATATTTTGTACATAATAGGCACTTACTAGATTTTTTTAAAATATATTTTATTGATTTTTTACAGAGAAGAAGGGAGAGGAATAGAGAGTTAGAAACATCGATGAGAGAGAAACATCGATCAGCTGCCTCCTGCACACTCCCTACCGGGTATGTGCCCGCAACCAAGGTACATGCCCTTGACTGGAATCGAACCTGGGACCCTTGAGTCTGCAGGCCAATGCTCTATCCACCAAGCCAATCCTGTCAGGGCAACACTTACTAGATATTTATTAATTTTTAAGTTATACCTTTCTAGAAAGGTGCATTTCTTTTACAGCTAGCATATATTGCACTTGTTTTCAGAAAAAAATTAAGTTGAAAATAAATTTACATTGATACTTGTATAAATGGGTGGAAGTAACTCATTTCTTCTGGGCAGATTTGGAGATTTTTCTTGTTAGCATATTGTAATATCATTTTCAAGTTCCATTGTATCAGTTTATAGGTGCCCTTAAGTACCAGCACAAAACATGCAGCAGCACCCTTTATTTCATTCCTACTCTGCAATGTCCACAAATTTGCTTACATAATACATAACATTATGTGGACTGCCAGGGTTTATATCTCAGCCCTACTACTTTGAGATACATAATTGGGCAAGTTATCAATTTAAGTTTTCTTATTTGTAAAATAGGAATAATAATAGTATTCACCACACAAATGTGAGAATTAAGTAAAATTACACTGACACCTGGTGAACATTCAAGACAGTTCATCATTATTTTGATGGTATTGATCCTAAAGCTGACTACTAATTATCCAATTCCTGAACATTTTGAAGTTTAAAAAAGGGAAAACAGTTACTGTATATGTTTGGGACTGATGAAAGGTTTTTGTTTTTGTTTCTTTGATTTATAGTATTTATAATAAACAAGCAAACTATTTATGCAATATTTTTCTTGTTCTTATTTCCAAGGATTCTATGACTTTATCTCTGTTTCTGTTTCAGGTCAAGACTTCAAAGCTCTTGATAAGCAACATTCAGTGCCAAGTAAGTGGTTGGTGATTCTTGATTAGTCAACCAATTCTAACCTGTCATTACTTTGCCAACAAAAAGTACTACCTATGTAGGATTTTTTAAGTCATTTTCTCCTCTTTGCCTTTTAATTCACCACACATCGGTACTATATGTGGTAGTTACTCTGTGATGTGGAAATGTGTTCGGGACAATTTTACTGAAAGTAATCTATTTGCAAGAGTTAACTTTCTCTTCTTAATTAACATTGAAATCAAGTTGAAGTGTTACTGGACTCAGTCGTTTTCACAGACCAGAGCAAAGCGCTTGTACAGAGTTTTGTTTCTTAGGTGATTATACAGGGATGGGCAAAAGTAGGTTTACACTTGTGATTTCGTGAGGTTATTCTTATTAT